CAATTTGTACCCCTTAGAAGGGATGAAATACTTCCTCTCCATCCCTTTCGCTGTAGGGGGGAATGGAGGCAAGAGCCTGCCACAAGATTTTCATAGTGGCTTGAAACGTTTTAATGAGTGGCGATGCCACCCTGGATGGCCCCTCAGGGGTTATGTCCACCATGGGGTCCTTAGACTTGACCACTTCCTCAGCCTGTGGCCCCATGTTAAGGGCCACCCTGCGCAACGGTTCCTGGTGCGCTCTATTATCAATGGGGGCTGCCCAGAGGATGAAGACCACTGCCTCAGCTGACGAGGATGATGACAAAGCTCTAGGTGATAACGGGCCCTCCTGTCCCTCCAGCTTTCTGGACGCATACTGCTTGGTGCTGTGCTGTTCAGCACCGACAGCGGCCTTGGTGCCAGTGGTGGAGGTGGGACCAGGACAGGACTCTGTGCCTTGGACAGAAGCCATCTCAGTGCCTCGAGGCGGGAGACAGTCCCAGGGTGCTAAAGAGATGTGTCCTTCTGAAATTATGGACTGGGAACCCCTGGAGTAAGTGCTCTGGGCCTGGTGGGATACCCACTGGGTCTGTCCAGAAAGGCCATTGCGCTGGCCCTTGCTACTGTGCCTGTACAACAAAATCCCCACCTCCTGCCTGTAGCAGCGCCACTCTGAGCTGTGCCAACTGTGCCTGGAATAGTAGGACTCCGCCTCTGAGTCCAATGACCGGGACCTTGAGCACAGAGACCACGGTGGTGCAGAGTGGGACGGTGCTGGAGAACTGTGCTGTGGAGGTGAGTGCTGCCTCATCGTTGTGGGCTTGCCTCTAGACTGCACCACCCCTTGCTGTGCTGAAGGTCCATCTTGGCTGGCGGGGTCACCCATTGGCATGGGCTTGTGCCAGGTCCTGCACAGCTTAAACCCTTGGGATTGAGGCATGCCCCGAACCCCAAGAGGGGAGGGAATTGGGTTGGGGGAAAAGCCCCCACATTTCTATCTAACTTACTAAGACTAACACTAACTAATGAACTATTTACAGGATAATCAAAAGTCCGATCACTAGGGGCAACGCTTGCAGAGGTAAGTCAGAGAGACAGCTCCAACTATCATCACTGGTGGTAAGAAGGAACTGACGAGGTGGCGGGTTGGCAGGAACCTCTATACACTGCCATGAAGGCACAACTCCGGGGGCTCCACAGCCAACCTGACAGGAACTACTAGGAGAAAAACCTTCTGACTGCATGCAGCATGCGCACACCTATATCTCTACCCCGATATAATGCGGTCCTCGGGAGCCAATAAATCTGTTATAGGTTAGGCCGCATTATATCAGGGTAGGGAGAGGAACCGCTCTCCCCCCCCCCCCCCCAGCTCACCTCTGCTCTATCTCCACGCCAAGCAGCTGTTTGGCCCGGCAAACCTGGAAGGTGGGAGGGAGGGAGAAGCAGAGCAGCGGTGACACACTCAGGGGAGGAGGCGGAGATGAGCTGGAGCGGGAAGTGGTTCCTCTCGCCCCTGTTACTTGCTACGGCCCTCCCCTGGGCCCCCCGGCCCAGCTCACCTCCGTTCCACCTCCTCCCATGAGCACGCCACAGCTCCACTTCTCCCCTTCCCTCCCAGGCTTGCCGTGCCAATCAGCTGTTTGGCTCGGTAAGCCTGGGAGGGAGGAGAAGCGGAGCTGAGTGGCATGCTCCTGGGGGGAGGAGGCAGCGGTGAGCTGGGGTGAGGAGCGGTTCCTGTGCCCCCCCTTACTTGCTGCGGCCCCCCTGCCCCAGCTCACCTCACCACCTCCTCCCACGAGCGCGCCGCAGCTCCACTTCTCTCCCTCCCAGGCTTGCCGCGCCAAACAACTGATTGGCGCAGCAAGCCTGGGAGGGAGGGAGAAGCGTAGGTGTGGCACGCTCGTGGGAGGAGACGGAGCGGAGGTGAGCTGGGGCGGGGGGGCCCCCGGGGAGGGCAGCAGCACGTAACAGGCGGGCACAGAGGAACTGCTTGCGGTAACACGAATTTGGATATAACGAGGTAAAGCAGCCCCGTCCCCTGGAGCGCTGCTTTACCACATTATATCCGAATTCGCGTATTATCGGACCGTATTATATGGGGGTAGAGGTGTACTTGGAATCGACATGAGCAAGCACCTAAAGAACAGTTGGCTAGGATTTAGGGTTGGAGGTTGCCTTCTTGTTTAGCATGAAATATTGACCACTACAGGAAGTCAAGTCAGACTAGATGAGCAAGTGGTCTGATCCCAGAACGTCAATCCTTTGACCCTTCATGTGTGCAATGAGCTCTATGCAAGTGTTGGAAACCCTCAGAAACAATCTGATTCTTTACTTGGTCTTGCTAATCTCCTAATTTGCAATTAATGGAGGTTTATGCTCCATAAGGGTTTTCAAGGCAATGCTTTAACAAAATGCTATTTTATATATCTATCGATAGATAGAGAGATAGTCAGTCAATCCTCTGGTGCTTCTCCTGTTATATATAGCGCCAGAGTCCAAGTCATCCAGGACATCTGGGCCAGCAGGATTTACATCATCTGCACCCTGGTCCGAGGCTGGCTTCATTTTGCACACTTTGGAGGGCTTTGCTATGGGAAGTGAGCTGCCCCAACAAGAAGGGCAGGGGTTGGGTGAACTCCGAGGCCAGCAATGGGCTGTCCGGCCCCAGGTAGCCACAGTGGGCGTGTGGCCAGCATAGAGATGAAAAGAGCCCTTCATAGGAAGCACAAAGGGCAGTCTGTGATGCTTTGAGCTCAAGTGTGGAGCAGCACAGAGTGCGGTGGTTAGGCTGAATGTTAAATAAACTCGTTTACAAAAAGGCAGGGGCCGTGTGCATGCATATGCAGACCAGAGGACTGTCTGTATCCCTTCACCTCTGTCAGGGTTAGGCGGGAAACTTCCCTTTTATGATAGAACAAAATACAGAAAAAGTTCCTCCATACATTAAAAGACTTGATTTAGGGAAAGAGAACCCTTCACATAAATCAGCATAAATCTTTTACACTTTTTGTATCTTTAATGCAAACTAGTTCCCTGATGCTCCAGTTTTAGATACCAAAAGAACTAACCCACCAGGGGGCTCAAAGCTGCAAGAGAAAATGCATTTGAGAGAAAGTAAGGACACACTGCTACAAGAAGATGCATTCTACCAACACAACGCACTCTGTGGCAGTACAGGCACCATTTGGTGAACTGTCCATTCTCTAGTCAGCTAGGAGGAGGCACATGGGGTATTTCATACAAAGTATACTATGAAGATGAAAGTAACAGAATAGTAGGTGATGGTCAGGTACAACATAAGTGAAAGCCCTATTGTGGTTGGGTTAGTACAACATGCTCCTTATCCCAGACCTACTGGTTATCCCATGGGAGTTTTTGCATGGTAGGTCCGAGTTCCTGTATATATTGTATGGACTTAGCTACATTGCTTTCTTGTGTTCATGTGAGGTTCTAGGTCAGTGAGGACGCAGTTTAAGGCACCACTGAAAAATAACATGCACTTGCTTGGTGGGGTAGATTCTAACAAGCTTAACTATTCTTTGGGGGAAGAGATCAGCCCCTGTTGTAATTTAGTTACTAACTGGAATTTAAGATGCAAATATTTAGTGAGCTACATATATAAATCATCTTATGAGAACACACAGGTTGCAGTCACAATTTAGATGCTGTATTTCTTAGTTATTTAAAAAGAGTTCCTAGCAGCCAAGATCTTTTCATGAAATAAAGATCAGATACATTTACTCTTCACTCGCCTCTATAGACATTGTGGTTTGATATTCTACAGGATTAAAGTTCTTGTGTGAAATTCCCCAAACACAAACGGTTAGATCTACTGTACAGCAATTTGCCAGGCAGACGGTCAGAACAATCCTCCTATGCAAGATGCCAAAACGAATTGTGCAGGAATGAATTTGCAGTGTGCATCACAAGCCAGTGTAGCTCCAAGGCCTCCAATGTTTGGAATACAAGATAAATGCTTAGCAGGGTGTTTAATCAGACAATTGCCTCCTACCTTGTTCCGAACCATCCACTTTGATGTTCCAACATAGTCCCATCTACACTTAGAGAGGGAAGTCTATTAGGAGAAGCAGTTCCGTAACATGGTCGCAATACACCGAGGCCAGCCTATGTGGAGGGGACTGTGGGCATAACATTGTTTCTTTGGTCATAAAAACCATTCAAGACTAGACAATCTTTAGAACAATTCTTAAATTGGTGGAACAGGGCTATGCCCTTAGTATGCACTGGCCAGTGAAACCATGTGAGATGGCCATTGAAAAATTGCTTGCAACAGTCCCATTCAAGATGGGGCCTTAGAGAGCAGGCACAAGTCCTGCTGATTAGTCTCCTCCCCCTGCACCCTCTTTGCTTTGTTTTTGGGCCTCACCAAGCTTTACTGAACCTCAGTCACAGTTTAGTGCATTCCCACCCCAGTTCTTAAGACTATACGCAGTTTTGAAGGAAAAACTCAAGTAACTTAAACCTGCTTATTTAGCTTGTCCTTTTAAAAATTCCTCTATTTGCATCCCAAACATTGCAACATTGTACTTGTGCATGGGAGACAGAAAATGAATAACCAGACACTGGTTCATCTATTGTCATTGTCCACGCTGTGTGAAAGTAGTAACCCAATGAAAGGAACTGAAACATTATTTTAACTTAATTCTGCTAGGATTCAGAGCATACAACTCTTCCTCTCAGCTGCAGAGGTAACTGCTCATTGCAATCCAAACTCCCAGTAATTCTTATTTTGAGACTTGGCCTATAGTCATTTTTAAAGAGATACAATAGACAGAATTCACTGTCTCAAGCTGCAGATCAAACCCTTTCCCTGTACTAGCTACTTGAATTCCAAAGATGACTTACTGAACTATGAGGAGGGGGTACTTTCTCCCTAGTTACTTGTGAAAATCTTTTGGAAAGAGTGAAGAGATGTGGGGAAAGGGAGAGAAGGTGGTTAATAAGCAACAGATTCCCAATGCTTTGGAACTGTAAATCCAAACAAAGATGCTTACCTGTTAGAACAGCAGGGACCACAACTCCAGAGAGCATCAGCAGGACCAGGCGAAGAACGCTGTGATGGGGCATTTCTTCCTCCAGGAAGAGTGTGTCAGAAGGAATTCTTAAACTCTTCAAAGTAGAAAAGGCTTGGGAACTTCACTAGTATAATGAAACTTTGTCCAGTCAGATCACAAATCCCTTCCTATGGGAACGCAGACACACACAGAGTGCAAACACTCTGCAGACCTCCCTCCTGAAGTCAGGAACAGCTCCACCCTCTAAACTTTGTGCCTAAAAATTCCTCCCCCAGTGCATGCACAGCTGGACCGTTGGAAATCAGTTACCGCTCCCAATTTGGTGAGTGCACTCTAGTGGTTGTTGGCTGAGTGCCCCACAGGATTCGGGACTATGTTTGAAATGCTTACCTTTGGGGTGTCCATCCCATGTCACACTGGCAATGAGAATACAACATAACTCATTACAGAAGCCACACCAAAAACAGGCATATGGTTTAATAGTTTACCCTCCTGTGTGGGGGGCAGTTTTATTAGGGCAGTTTTATTTATTAGGACTCGCATCAAACAACAAGGGCCTCCAACTTTAGGGTTTAACATGCTCTGAAATCGAGCCAGAGCAATTTCTTGGCATTTGTTTTCTGGACATAAAACTATAAAAGTAGATTTACAATGAAGACCACACATGATGCCCACCCCCACAGCTCACAATTGTCTACCAAGCAGCATCTTCTAAATCACAGGCACGCATCAGATTTAACCTGAACATAGGCATTTTCCTGCCCCTCTCTCTTCCCTCAAACATGCTCAAGAAAGAGGATCAAAGAGCAGAGAAAAAAATGCACATTTTTGATCTAGGCTGACCCAAGCACCTCAATGATAAGAGACTTGGGAAAGAATGAATCTTATATAAAAGGAGAGCATTCCCGTTTACTGGGGATGGAACCGTTTCATTATGTTCTCTCTCAGTGGGTCCAGAATTTTTTTTTAAACTGGTATGAAGATTGAACATCTAAACTGCAAGGAAGTGAGTAATTTCTGTTCAGAGAAGCTCTGTAATTCAGAAAGCCATCCATACACAATATGAGTATTTAATCACCACAGTACCGTTCTCTATGCTCTGAAGATGTAGTGAATTAGGTGAGTTTTTTGGTCTTAGATTTCAGATTCAAAAGTTTTTTGTTACAGGATCTCCTTAGAGCCATTTTCCTTCTATATGTAATTCAATACATTCTTAAATCAAGCAGGGAGGCTAACCCAGATTCAGATTTCCTTTTACAACACCTTTTTTGCTAGGCTAAATCCTACGCCAGAGCAACTGGAAATTGGCAGACGTAGGAAGGACAGAGTGGACTGGAAGTTGCCACCCTAATCAACTGAGACATAAGGAAGCAGAACTTGCTTCAGAAATCACTTGTGAAAAGAGGCCTCAAATGCCTCTTGCACCACACTCAACATTATCAATTCCCTGCTACATAGAAGCCAGAATGACTCTTTAGTTCCATACCTTAACAGAAAAACAAATTGAGAACTGGCATAGCTGTATACGGACTGCACCCAGCACAAACTGACAAAAAACTATAGTTCTTCTTTTTCACCCCAAATATTGACACAGGTGATCCTGACCATTCTTGAGGCTCATGCCATCTTTTCACAACAATATAAAAGGTAACAATTTTGCCACGAAGACATTCACTCCACCGCAGCACCAACCTAAAAGGGGAGAGGCAGATGCCAAAATATTTCAATTCAAGAGATAGTGTGCAGTGACCATTCCAATCTACCACATTATTTATGGTTAACAAGCGCCTTTCCATAGGAGTCAGCAGGGCCGGCTCCAGCTTTTTTGCCACCCCAAGCTGCAAAGAGGAGGAGGGGGGGGAAAAAGCCACGATCGGCCACACTTCGGCAGCTGCTCTACCGTGCCGCTTCATTCTTCGGCAGCAATTCGGCAGCCGGTCCTACCCCCGAAGAGGGAATGAGGGACCCGCCGCCAAATTGTCACCGAAGACCCGGACATGCCGCCCCTTTCCGTTGGCCACGCCAAGCACCTGCTTCCTGCTCTGGTGCCTGGAGCCAGCCCTGGGAGTCAGATGGGGTCCTTAAAGGGAATGCAAAATTATTGCTTCTCCATACTTTTGCTTTTTCTATTTAGCAAGCACTGCTTCCCTCTTACCCCTCATGTTCCTGTTAAGCTGGAAATTAATGTGGCTTCATTTACATTCTTATGTTCTTGCAAAATCACAGCTTCAGAATTACCTTTTGTAAATTAAATGCTACTGGAAAAGGAAATAGGGTAACATTGTAGATACCTCAACCAGACAGCATATTTTAAACTAAGGTAAATTTTGAGCTTAAGCACATCGAAGGTGAGGTGGGAGCAAGCCTGGATGTAAGTAGGAAACAAAAGTAACATCAACGTAATCCTTTTTTTTAACATGTGAAGGGTAATGGACCAATTACCTCCCCATCATGTCCTCAAACTTTAGCAGGATTTTCCTCACCAAAATACAAACAGCAGCAAATGACAGCTAGTATTAGACCTGGGGAAAATAAAAGCATGATTTTACCTAAAAATGGTAAATGTACAAAATGCCCTCAGAGAGCCCTTCCCCCAATCTGAAGTGTTCGGGGTAAACCTCTCCCTTCTTCAGTAAAGATAACTGGGCTGGGAGGGTGCTTGCTGGTTTACTCAGATACTTTGTGTGTTTGAAATTCATAACAGAAAACTAGCCAAGGGTTGATCTTTCCTCCGTAAACAAGGTGACTGTGAATGCACGTGCGCGTGTATGGAAGGAAAAGGGAGTGAAGATTTTGTGTCATAATTTTCCAATCTCATTTTACTGATGTTTATTTTGAACTCTAAAATTATCAAGTAGAAAAACCACCAAGGTTCCGCAGGAGAGCAGGAATAAAGCGGCAGCTGTTGCTCCACATCCTGTGTATTTGCTTGATGTTTCTTGATGAAAACGGTGATGAAGGTCAAGATTCAGGTCTGTTTTAGCACCAGGAATAATCTCAAAAATCATCTTAGACAAAAGCAAGTAGAAAATGCGCTCTTAGATATAATACAACCAGGTTTTATTTCTCTTTTTTTTCCTCCCGCACACTGGCAAAAGTTCAGAGGGAGTTTAAAGTTCTGTAAACATTTTAACTACCCCTCTTCCCCCCCTTTATGACTTTACAAAGCAAAGGAGACAGGGAGACCAGATTTGCAACAGTTCCAAGTCTCTCTGTGCTATTAGATCCAAAAACTATATACAAGTCTGCAGCAGTATCTGTATAGTTACTGTACATGTTTGGGGGGGAGGAGGAAGAGAAAGGAGGAAGAGGGGAAGATTCCCCGCCAAAAATGAATAAACCAAATGAAATAAAACCCAAAGCCAAACTGCTCTGGAGGAACTCAAGCCGCCTTCTTCAGGCAGTGATGACAGAAAGACAGACACCTTTACACAGCTCCACCCAAATGGCAGCCTCTCCCCCCCCCACAGGCACACTGCAGCCCTCTAGGAACGGGAGGTGGGATGGGGGTGGGGGGCGCAAATTAAGTGCATTTTGCAGTTTCGGGGTTTGGGGATTTTTTAAACTCTTGCAGGGAGAGCTGGGATTACATAAATATTTAATTATTATGGATTGGAAGTGAAGGGGCGTTCAGTAATTGAAGGTATAGAAGGGAATCAGTGCCATTGCCTCACAGCTCACTTTCTCCCTCTCCATGGTTATAGGAATTCAGATGCTGCCTACAGTCAGGTTCTCTTTTAATCTCATTCCATTATGAAGAGGATGGTCTCTGCCCCTTAACTTGCATGCTATTGTAACACAAAACTGAATCACTGCCATTGGAACCCAGCTGAGACTGTGGGGGATACTTGTTTGGAAAGTAAAGTCCTTCCCCACCCAAGACTTGAGCTGTCTCTTAAACGAGACAAATTCACAGCAGAAGGGCCTCCAATAAACTGGTCCTATTCCTATGAAGGTAATATTTAAGGAAGTAATTTCAACCTGAACAGAAGAAATATACCCTCCCCTGCCCCCATTATACATTCCCATTTGTCCAGGAAGGCGGGAGGTTGCTGGTGGGAGAACTCCAGTAACTATCATCACTACCTAATGAAGACAGACTCAAGCTTTCCCTCCAAAATTAATGTGCTGAGAGAGGCTGGCAGGGGGTGTGCAACATCAAACCAATCCAAGTTAAACTCCGCCCACCACCACCCTCTCCTGCTGTTGCCAGTTCTAAAGTTAGCTTATGATTGCAACTCCTGGATTTGGAGAGCACCTCTTGTCCTGAAGGAGCACTGAAGTCAGTATCTGTGTGGCATTTTGGTTTTGACCAATCTCTGTTAACCACAAACTCTCTCCATGATTGCACAAGTTGGATGTGATAAGCATGACCGGGGAAAGGAAGATACCATTTGCAGAATCTCAGTAGACTTTCCAGATAAATCAGCAGAAGAAATGACAGCACAGTGAATGCTTGCTGCCTGCAGTCAGCCGTTTTGGGAATGGATCCTATCTCCCACCCACCTAGGAGACAGAGCAAAGTCCAAATGTCTATGGGCTGACAGATGACAATGACTGTGCAACCTGGGGCAGAAAGATTTTGTTGGGGCTAGAAGCAGCAGCCTGAGATGATTGATTCTGTAAGTCACTGCGAGGCGAAGAAAAATGCAAGTTGGAGAAAGTACTGTGTCCAAAGGTGGAGAATCCATGGTTAACAGACACAGGAAAAGCCGGTCAATCTGCACAAGATCAGTAGTCTTCCAAAGTCTCTATTTCTCCCATATTGAGCCGCTCTGATGAGGCATTCACTGAAAATCCTGTAAAACAAAAGAAGCAATGTTTTAGTCCGGATGTGCATGTCCAAGTATGATATAATCAGTTTTATTTATTATATGCAACAGCTGCTTAAAGGAGGAAGTGGAAAATAGATGCCTAATTAAACTGTGGAAGAAATTCACTAAGGCAGACTGTAACTACCCAAACTGCAATTTGACAGACACCAGGGTTGCCATGCATAGACTTGGACAAAGTGCCATAGGATCTTTAGTGATGAATCATTAACAGCTTGGTCCTGAGTCTCTCAAAGGATGGCACCTTCAGCATCACTGTGCCTCGACACCATGGGTAATACTGTCTCAGAAGGAAGAATGCTTAAAGCACAATTCAGTAATATTTCTAAGATGTTCTTCAGTATTTAGGTGGTACAGGAAGCAGAGGTGGCTGATGCTAAGATCTAACATCCAAGGACTGACCCTGCTCATCCCTGCTTAGCTTCTGAAGATGGGATGAACTTTCAGTCTGAAGTGGTATCAGCTTCCAATTTAAAACCGCTTTTACAACTAGAAGCCTGATGGAGACAGCATGCAGATGTACCAATAGGCATGAATTTAGGATTATTTTGCTATTTTCAATCCCTACATGCTATTCATCTATTAACTATTATT